GCCAACGGCCGATCTCCGCCGCTGTCACCGGCCAAGGGTGACGAAGAGTTTCGCGACATTGAATCGGCCGACGGCTGCGACGTTGTCGGTGGCGGCATGGCAAAGGCTGGAAGCGGTGGTCAGACTGGAAGCGACGGCTGCGCGCGACATGTCGGGCTGGTTTGTACGGCGGCAGTGGCGGGATGCTGATGGTGGGTTGAGAATGGGGACGACAAGCAGAGAAAGGGTAAGACGGCGGGCAAAAAGCCGGCGGCGAGGTGAGAGGCGGCGGCGGTAGGCTGAAATCCGACGACGGCTAAAAGGCAGCTACAGGATGACGGCAGCGATGGGCTGATGGGCGGCGACAGGATGAAAGACGACGGTGAAGTGAAGATGTGTGTGTGTGTATGTTTGTGTGTGCGCGGAGGTGCGTCTGTGTAGTGTGTGTTAGGTGTAAATATGAGAAAGAGAGAGAGAGTAGTGTGTGGTTATTGAATTTATGGTGGGCTCGGGCTGATTAATGTGTGTATATGTAATGACTAATTTGTCCCTATTGAGTAGTCTGTTGACGGTCGTTCCTGCCAGCCTTACCCGCGGAGGGAGCTGGGGCCCCCGATGGGCCATGACCATGCACGGGGGACTCATGGACTTCCACAGTGCTCTGTCCGTAGGGTGAAAACCCAATTGGTGTGATGGTACCAGGACTTGTCATGAATCCCACCTTATGCTCAGGGTGCAGGGTTCGAGTCCTGGGGAGGGCAAAAATCACAAGGAGTCCTACGATGGGTTTTCACCCTACGGACAGAGCACTGTGGAAGTCCATGAGTCCCCGGTGCATGGTCATGGCCCTCCGGGAGCCCCACCTCCCTCTGCGGGGAAGGCTGGCGGGAACGACCGTCAACATAGACAAATATGTATATTTGACCACACTGTATGTTAATTTATCATATTGCCATTAATGATTGACCAAATTTTGGCTTTATCCTAACTATTGATATGTAGGATCTAATGGTCTTCAATTATTCTTATTTCTTCCATTATCCCTCTTTCTCATATGATACATTCTCTAGATATTGGTACTATATAAATTTCTATTAAGAATATTTTACATATAAATAAAAATTTAATAAAATAATATGTTAAATTAATGTCCATGAAAATTATTAAACGTTGGTAAACAGGCTTGTCCACAATCGATTATAACACAGTCTAATTTTTTGTTCGAGCTCCACTAGATACATAAAAAAAGCAAAAAAATAAAAAAATAATAATAATTCAGAGACTTCTGATCTAGCTAGAAAAGAATGCATAAATACTCAGTTCCTAAGAATTCTATGGCTCTTCTGATAATGAAATATGTTGTCAATCTTCATCTTCATCTGACTCTGAAGTTTCCTCTTGTTCGGAAAGACCTTCGATTGCAGGCCTGTTTCGCTGACTTTGCCTCGGGTGGATGATTTCTCGAACGGCATTATGAGCTATATGTAACAAGAAAAAGAGATGAGAATGCTGTTCACAATCAAACATTATATGCTCTATCTTAATTATTATTACCTTTCAGAATTACAAACACCTTATATGTATCACATTGGTGCGAAATTCGTATAAAAGAAACGAGTATCAATGATACAATTCTAACTGCAAACAATATTCTATATTTTTTTTAAAGTAACCTTGAATGAAATGCAAACCAAGCACAACGAGAATATGCACCTGACAACAAAATCTTTATAATGAGCTTCCTTGCAATCAGAAATTCTGTTTCGTGGTTTTTGACGAATTTTACCTATGGGAATAGAATAATGCAATATTGGTTATTAAAATAGAAAATTATTCTACACTTTAACAAGTTAAATGAAGATAATTACCATTTCATAATAAAAGAAACCCACAGGTCGATCGAGTTTTGATTGATGTCTTGAGAGGAAGGGTTGCAAGTAGTTCATATAAAGCTGCTTTGCCCCCTGCCATAATACATCAGTTCTAGAAATTTAACAAAAAAAAAAAAAAGACTAAATACAGAAGAATCAGAGACAAGAATATACATCGACAGACAGCTTACGTCGACATATGGAAGTTGCATCCACACAAGAAATGCAAACTTCATTTGATAGTAGAGCGGACACCTAATAAAATAAAATAATGCACCAATTTCCAATGCATAAGTAAAAACTAATAAGTCAACCTATGAACAAACTAATATAGGTTAAATTTAAGAAATTTTGAGAGGCCGTGTGAGTGTTTTAATTACTTTTTAATTATATATTCCGTATCAGGATCAGAGGGAATTAAGAAGTAAGGCATGAATAAGTACCAGTAAAGTATCTTATCGGTGAACACCTCAGCAAGACTAAAGCATCCATAAGCTGCAAGCAGTAAGCACAAACCAAGATAAGAATAATACATTAAGGTACAGCCTACTTCATATAAATTGATTAAAATATCCAACTTCCTATCTGTTTCACATATCAACATCTCTCATTGAAGGCTTAACTCAATTCCGCAAAATTCCAATATGACATTTGTCCTTTCGAATGATATTAGAAGCCAGAGATTTTGAATAACACGGTAAAAAATTCCATGATACTCATATGCTACAATAATTGTGTTAATATCATCAAATAGCCATATAAGTTTACCAAAGATGAATAATGGCCACTTTTTGTAAAAAGATGAAATTTAGCTAGTGATTGTTTTTAAGGCATCATCACTAACCGGCCCAATACAGAAGCCATTTGTGTTCTTCATTTTCATCCCTTGCTTCAATGGCCTTGAACGTAGAATAAACGGGCAAGACAACCCCCACTGAACA